GGGTAACTTTGACACTAAGAAGTCATTTATGATTATTTTTTGTTTGCCTATGAATTTCATCTGCCCTGGATTTTTGGAGAAAATAAATAAAAACATATCCCTATATTTAGGGACAATGTATGAAATATTTTCAGAAAATGAGATATGTCACTGGAAATTCTTGCCTAGTATGTCACTACTTTGAAAATGATTAAAGAAAATGGAGTTTTCCCCAGTGGAGGCAGGTACTTTGACTTGTCAAATTTAAGTTGGACATTTTCTCTTAGTTTGGAACTGCCACAAAATGAGCCCTTTCATGTCCTCAATAATACCAAACCAATGCAATCCATCTGTTCTGCTAAATTATTTCGAGTTCCCTAACCAAAGGCACTACTTTTTCATGCATTTTATCATGATTTTATGCCCTTTATTATATTTTACAAAAGGTTCTGATTCCTCCAGGGCCAATGAGAACTGATTAGGACACTGGCCTCAATCCAGGCTTTGAACACAGGAGGGAAAAGAATAGAACTGTTTCCTTTTTTCTCTGCTCCTTGGCAGAAAAAAATATGAATCTATACCGTGTGTGTGCTCTGTGTGTGGGTGGGTGTGGGTAGACTACATTTTATCCTGCCACAGTATGACTTTATAGATCATGTTCAGAACATTTCTTCTATAATCAGGTTGCATTAACGGGCTCTGTTTCAGAAAGACTTTTTCTTTGAGAAAGAACCATGGTGTGTTGTGAGACTCAATAATATGGTCATTTTAAATGACTTTGGTCAGACTTCCAACATGAATATAGACTGTTTAGGGCCCTGAACTAAACATGATCATGTTCCTATGCACAGAGTAAGCACTCAGTGAACATAGCTCCTTTTCCCACTCTCTGTGAAGAAACTAAGTGCAAGTCACAGGGAATGATAATGTAACAATGAACACAGTCCTACATCACAAAATTTCTTTGTTAAGAAGGTGAAAAAAGCTACAAGGTTTCATTCCTAGGCCTTTGTTGTTAAGACATTTAAGACCTTTACTGGCTCCAAGTGAGAAATCCCCGGATGAAATCCCTCCCTTATTTGCATTGAGTGCCCCAATATGCTCAGAATTCTTAAAAATCTTTATGGTCAGACTATCATAGATAACTTTACATAGATATCCTGCAAACCAAGTATCTCTGAGAATGGAAATTAGTACTCCCTAAATTAATATTTTCAGAGCACTTTAGCCTATTTTTTGACTCATTATGCTCTTGACCTTTGACTCAAGAGAGCACAGAGAGAGAAAGAATAAAGGGTACACAGGAAGTAGAAAATATGAGAAGTCATTAAGTGGGAATATCTATATTTAAGCCTACGCAAATAAAATACTAAATTACTGATGGTAATACCAGAAAATGGGAACTGGTGAAGATCTCAATATGAAAGGAAAAGTTGAATGTGACAAATTTAAGGCATCTAATACAAGTGAAGCAAAACAGAATTACTCCAGGAGATCCTATATGTTAGGAAATAAAGAAAGCTGTTGCTCTTTCAGAATTTTTAGCTTAGTCATCCGCCACATTCCCCCAGCAGTGTCTCTGTGAGATACAAATCTCAAAAGATGCCTTTTCCAGATCCTATCTACAGGTAGAAACATTTTTTTTTGGTACTGAATTAGTTTTCACTGCTCTCTTTCTGTAGAAATACATGCACTATGTTTCTGGGGCTGTTCTCTAGCAACCAAAGAAGCAAGCAGAGGGTGATTGCCAAGAATAAGTACTTCCTTATATTTAGTGAAATTAGTTTTTAAAAAATATTTTCTATAGTAATGAGAAGAGCCAGTGTAAAATACTTGCTTAAAGTCAAAAGAAAGAATAAGGAGAAGGAGAAAAAGAGAAATCACAGTGGAAACTTAGGAATAATGGCACATTTTAATAGCAAGGATGACGCCTAGAGTATAACTAGCAGAGAAAAATCTTAGAATAAGTCAATGCTAGATAGCTGGGCCAAATGCTCTGTCCTTACTGTTAGTTGACTGATACTACACAAGTGGGTAACAGATTCAGCAGGTGTCCTCTTATCAGGGATCCCCAAATCCTGGGCCACAGGCCATTAGTCGTCCATGGCCTGTAAGGAACCAGGCTACGCAACAGGAGGTGAGTGGCAGGTGAGTGAGTGAAGCTTCATCTGTATTTTCAGCTGCTCTCTGTTGCTTGCATGGCCATCTGAGCCTTGCCTCCTTTAGATCAGCAGCGCGGTTAGATTCTCATAGGAGCACTAACCCTATGTGAACTGCGCAAGTGATGGATCTAGGTTGAACGCTCCTTATGAGAATTGAATGCCTGATGATCTGTCACTGTCTCCTATCACCCCCAGTTGGAACCATCTAGCTGCAGGAAAGCAAGCTCAGGGATCCCACTGGTTCTACATTATGGTTAGTTGTAAATTATTTCATTATATATTACCGTGTAAAAATAATAGAAATAAAGTACACAATAAATGAATGTGCTTGAATCATCCCAAAGCCGTCTTTTCCCTTTTGTCTTCCACAAAACTGATATCTGGTGCCAAAAAGATTGGAGACTGCTGTTTTTATTACTTACTAGTGCTTCAGCTACTGTCAATTATAGTGAATCTTGTTAGCAGACTAGCGTTCAAATGTGTGACTGAGCTTTCAGCAAAAAGCAGTGGAATTGTGGGAGAATAAGAAAAGGTGTTGGGACAAGCATGGAGTACATGGAATGCAGATTTACACAACTAGTGTATGAACACATAAAGATATACTTATTGTTAATGGTATTTAATATTATACCAGAGTGAAAATTCAATTTATAGATGAAAAGAATCTTCACAGAAATGAAGAAAGGGGAAATATCAATGAATGTTTGTGATAGTCATCAAAATATGGTTGTGATCATTAGCTGCTGAACTGACATTGTTTAAGATATTGATGTTTCACTGTATCAGAATATGTGATGTTAGTGGCTATGGATTTCAAAGACCCATAGAAAGAAGAGCTCGAAGCCCTATTATTTCATGGTGTTCATTATTCTGCCAGACTAGGATTGGTTGCCACATTCTGTTTTCCAGTGCCCTGCTCAGTCCAATTTTAGATGACTCAAACCATGGACTTACCATTATTTATCTTGAGGGATTATCCACCCACTGAAATCTCACAGTTTAAACTTTTCCTTTTAATGTTGGCTTCAGATTTTCTCATGCTTATTTTGTCTCTTTACATGTCATCCTGCTTCTTTGGTTGTTTTGGTCTTCAGTACACTTTTCCCAAATCGAATGTTTACCAGCTAAGCCACCTGGTTCAGGATGCTTGCTTATGGATCAGAAAGATGGCTGACCAGAAAGCCATCATTACATTTTCCTTAGTCTTCAGCATCAGAGTTCTGATCTTATCTACCTGTAATAATTTCTCTAAAGCATATTTTTATTTTTCTAGTAATGTGACTTGCGTTAGACAATGCTGAATTATAGCATCAAAAACAGGGAACTTCAATGATACACAAAGAAAGTTCCATAAGTATTTGTGTGTCTATTTAGCACATAAAGGCAGTGTTAATGAGATTTTGCTTTAATCACTCCTTTCTATTACCCCTGGAGACCCCCACCATTCCTCTCTCAGTGTGACCTGATCATTTATTTTCAGTGACAGGCACAGCTCTGCCTCCTGCCCAGTAAATGCTGAGGAATTGTCAGATATTGACGTTTTCCTGGCCTGCCCCTTCATTGAACCACACATCAGCATTGACAAGTCTGGCAGCAGCTGTAACACTTTAAACTAGGGAGACTGAAGGTGAAATTGTCCTTGTCCTGAGAGAGGTGTTGTCACCTGATGTTTCCAGGCCAACTGGTGGTTCCTTGGTCAGGAACATGAAAGCATAGCATCCCCTGAACAGATTCTCCTTGAATATCACTGTTGTTCTGTAAATATTACTTTACAGCTGTCTTGTTGTGACATATATATTTTAAGTGAAATATTAATACTTTCTTCATAATACTAGAAAGCACAGCGATTTCCAAAAGTTAAGGCTAATTAACTTCATACACCAGCACAATATTTATCAGGCTTATAGATATGTCAGCTGAGGAATGTAGCCAGAAAGAACACTTTGCGTGTAGGATAATTGAGGTTGAACGTAATGTACAGTTTTGTCTATGTTGAAGTGCTGTGATTTGTTAGATGGAGTGAAAGTCTCTGCCTCGCCTGTTTGAAAAAAATTGATGGAGCCTAGAGTGTCTCAAACTATGTCTGGTTAAACAGAAGTTTTTGTTTTTGTTTAATTTCCAATTTGTCAGAGACTAATATTTTTATTAAAAATGTTAAAATGAATTATGGCAAAAGTGAAATAAATATTGAAGAGATACAAGATTATAATAGATTCAGAAGACAAAAAAAAATACTGTCAAATTGCCATAAAAGTTTCTAAATATTGATCTGAATTTCTGTACTGACCTCGCCACAGACTATTGGTAAACAGATATTGAACTGTTATTGATCCCATGGGACATACTTTTAGGAATATTGGTTTAAACTAATACTACTGTGAGGTGCACACATGGGAAGTGATTAGCATATCTGTGATCATCAGATTGATTAAAATGAAATGGCATTTATTTATGTCCTTCAAGAAAGAATAATGAATGTGTTCTAACAACTTCTTTGGGTAAGTGTAAAATAAGATTGTAATACATTTAATTTTCAGCTAAACAGTAGCCCCTGTTTGTTTTTAAGCTGATACTTTACAAGAGTTAACTATTAATTTCTGTGTTACAGCTTTCTCTTTCATGCCAAATAAGAATATACTTTATGTCAGTTGCCCATTTAGCATAAGCAGTCTGTTGAATCTGAACCTTCCATACACTCATTTTTCAAATATTATTGATACTTCACTAAGCAAATCAGTGTCATATTCCTACATGATGAAATTCAGCCCATTATTAATCATCTTAAATGTGACTAAGGGGTCTCATTTTCTTCCAAATGTTGTCAGTGGAGTACTGTTGGCTTCTGCTGTTTTCTTTCAGCGAATTCAAGGTCGAAAAGCCAGCCTGGAGGAAATACAGCTTGTTCATTCGGAACATCACTCACTGTTGTATGGCACCAACCCCCTGGATGGACAGAAGCTGGACCCCAGGATACTCCTAGGTCTGTACGGGCCTCCATTGTACTGGGAACAGCACATTCCAGCACTATCATTAGTTAATGCTGGTGTCAGTTCAAAATAGTTGGCAAGTAGTGCAACAAAAAATGAGCTTTTCAAACAGCTTTGTTCTGTGGAATGAGTCGTTTGCAATAGAAGCCAGTGTAGATTAAGAAAATCCTGCGTTAGAAAGTTACAATGTAGGTTGCATGATGTTTACTTTAAAATTAACCTTCATTTGAGTAACATTTGTACAATGTGTTTTTGCACATAGAAAAAACTGCATGGCTGAATTTGTTTATGTTTTCAAACTAAAAGAAATAATGATTTTCACATGCTTTATGCAAATATATCTTCACCTTTCCCATTTATTTTTGTATCTTTTAGTTCTTTGTTCTATGACCGTAAGAAACAGGAAATAGTACACCTTTATTAAGTGAAAACTCACTATTACTTTGTCCTTCATACATTTTATAGCAAGATTGCAAATCTATTTAATGCCTTACTTTTGGAATTAAATAATGCATTAAATACAAAACTGGAAAACTAATAAACAGCTTTTTGTTAATGTATGATATTTTGAAACTTTATCATCAGATTTAAAAGTAAAATTTATGTTGCAGAACTTTATATAAGCTTTATATGAGTGATAGAAACAACAGGTTTCTGGAGGAAAAATTAGTGACAAACCTTGTTTTAGCTGAAACGGTTATATTTTATTAACTTCTTGTAAGTGAATAGCAATATCTAAAATTGGCAATAGATGGTGAAAGGATTACATTTTAAATGTTTTAACTAAAACAAACGTTTTAGGACTTTTTCTTTCAAATAAATATATTGTGTCATCTCTAAGTTATTGAACTCTTTCACCTAATTCAATATTATTTTAAAATTGTTTTAACTGGTCCTAAACAATTTGAAAGTAGATAACATATAGTAGGTAGGTATCTTGGAAAGCAATTGTAAAGAAGATTAACAGTTACCCATTATAACACTTACAGTCTACCTTTTTAAACACGTGGCAACCATCTCTAAGTTTATGAAATGCAGGCATATGAGTGAGAATAAATGTGCCCACACATGCATGTAATGGTATAGGTAGAAGTAGCTTGGGGAGAAGTGAGCTGAAAGGGGAACCCATAAAGATTATCCAATTTTCAGAAAGTACATTGCTAATATTTGATTATAAAAATAATGTATGTGATCGAATTAACATATGTTAATATGAATACAAATAAATCTAAACATATATGCTCATTTTTTTCCTTCTTTTTGTTTTAGGAACCAGTCTCTGTACATGCAGATACTTAACATAAAATACTTCTTTTTGCTGCAAATATTGTATAATAAATATCCTTATTTTAGCATGAATCAATAATCCTACCCAACTAACTAAAAAGATGAAGTAAACCAGACATTTTAATTGTCGTGATTTTATGAGGTCATAATACTCAAGCGTTTAAAAATAGGGACTGTGTCCATGTCATTATTTTTTAATTGAGTCAAGAAAAAACAAATAGAAAACCTCTCCCACTTTTAAAAAAATCTCTGGTCCAAAAGTATAAATCAACCTAAGCATAAGACTCTGTATCCTTGGACTTTATTGGAATAGGTTAGGATTGATCAAATTGGGAATATAAACACACAGTTGATATTTGAGAGGTGCTCCTTAACAACCATTGTTCCACATTTTAAGAGAAAAGACATATTTATAGGACAAATGAGTTTAAACTTTGGCAAAAACTTTTATTATAAAACATGGCAATGTTTTTTTAAAGAAGTTTGACAGTTTTGAACAAACCTAATTTTTCTAAAATGTTTGATGTATCATTTTAAAATTTGATGATTTAAAAATGAATTTCAATATACAGTTTGAACTTGAACAAAGATCCTTTTCATGTATATATGTGATGAAAGCAGCAAGTACCTGTGATTCGATGTTTAAATTTTTAATCTAAATAAATTAGCCATTTATCTCATTAATTTTGAACATTTGATGTGAAATATTCATACAGTTGATAATTTTAGAGTTAGTATTCTATACGTATGTGGAGTTTCATATACACTTCTCAGTGATGATTGCAACAATTTCAATATTGTGTGTGAGCTACGTGAGTACATATAAACAGGGATGTTGCATTTGATCAGGCCTTAATGTCAAGCACTAAATTCAACTGTGTCAGCACTTCAAAACTACTTTTTCCGTAGTGTATCCAAAAGTTTAGCTAATTTTTCTCAATCTCAATACAAAGTGAATGATTGTTCTTTTAGAAGATTAATTTTTAATACTTTTTTTTGTTCTTTGTGAAATTTGGATTCTTGTGGCTTTTGTTGTTGTTGTTAGTATCTGGAAGACCAGGTTGAAGTTGCCGTATGTAAATGTATAGAAATTCATAATCATCAAGATGTTTGCTCTTTTTTTATCCATCACTTTCAGTTCCATATATCCTACTACATCCCCTAGTTTTTCCCAACATAGATGGGAGGTGTCTCTTCTGAGTTAAATTCACACTACTTCTCTTGAGAGCTGTGTTCTATAGTTAGAAGAAGGGGTTTAACTAAAAGTTCAGTATGACCAGACCTATCAGTCTTTGTATCTTGAAAGATATCTATATATGATAAAATAATTGGATTTGAAAATGAACATCGTTTATCTCTTTGAATACTCCAGACCCTATAAGGTGACACTTAAAGGATATTCCCTCTAATCATTTCTGGTGCAAGGGTTTCCTTAGCATTAATATTTATGTCGCTCTTCTGACCAGTTTCCACTTTTCTTGTGGCCAGCCAAATTTCAGTGCATTAATAAGACAATATAATTAAAAATAAATCCAGTCAGTTTGGTGAAATAAAAGTTTCTTGCCCATTTCTAAATTTAAAGTATCAATTATTTGCCTATTTTGTGTTATGTAAACATTCTCCTAAGTAGGTATTAAATAAGGGTATTAAATAAAATTCTCCTAAGTAGGATACTTATTTTTCTAATTCTCTTTGAGGTTAATAATTTTTTTTAAATTACTCTTAAAAATTAACTTACTGGCTGTTCACTGTGGCTCACACATGTAATCCCAGCACTTTGGGAGGCCAAGGCAGGTGGATCACAAGGTCAAGATTAAGACCAGCCTAGACAACATGGTGAAACCCTGTCTCTACTAAAAATGCAAAGTTAGCCAGGCCTGTTGGCACGCACCTGTAGTCTTAGCTATTTTGGAGGATGAGGCAGGATAATCACTTGAACCTGAGAGGTGGACGTTGCGGTGAGCTGAGATTGCACCACTGCACTCCAGCCTAGGCAACAGAGTGAGACTCCATCTCAAAAATAAAAATAAACTTATCCTGTTACAATATTATCTTCATTCCTGTTTGTTGACTATGAAGAATTCAGACACTAAAATGTATGTATCTATTTTAATTTCACAGGCGACATATGAATATACTCTTATAAAATATTCAGAAATTCAGAAATATTTTTGTTAGGAACAGCAACAGAAGAAAACTTTACACTTCCCCAGAAATTTTTGATGTGCCTTTTACTGATGCCAATATTGAAGTTTAAATATTATTTTATGATTTTTACTTTTAATTCTGTTGATTTCCCATCTTTTGTTAAAATAAAAATCTCTTTGTAACTAGATGTCTTCATTTGCACATGCATTTTTCTTTAACATTTTCCATCTTTCAGTAATTGCATTTAAAAAACCAACTCATATGATTTATTGTTTTCAAAACAAACTCTCTTCCGTGACAATAAAAGCTATTTAGACTTTTACTGACATGGCATATGAATTCTACTACAAACCTGTTTTCAATTTTAATTCCTCATTTCATTGATTATCAATAGAACAAATGAATGGGATAGGTGAATTGGAAATGGGTACTTGGTTCTGTCACTGAACTGTTGAGGACATGCCTGAGTCCCCTCAGAACCATTTGACTATGAAATAGAAATGTTCACTGCCTTTCCCTGTGATTACTCCACAGGCAGATATTAATGTTAAATATTTAGTCACAGTTACTACTGTTCTCTCTATTCATGTGGTAGATAATGTAGAAAATAAAAGTATACTTAAACAACGTTATTGTTAAAAATCCTGTGAAACACCAGTTCTAAGGGATACTCACAATCAAGATTTAGGCATATATTTTTAAAGAAGATATTTTATATTGATATTGATGTAAATGGGATTATCCCTTCATAGTGTTTTGTTTAAAAAATTGGGATGTTAGAAGTGGCTTATAGTGTACTTGGCCTTAGCTCTATCTTAAAGTATATATAGCTACTTATAATCAGCTATACTTAGCTATATCTGAAGTAGAAATTAAGAATATGTACATTTGAGAAGATATTTTAACATTTGAAATTTTTAAGAAATGATAGTATATGGTAGCATTAACCTTGTAGCTCAAAACATCCCATTGAATGAATATGCTCAGTGAATAGCTGAATTAGTTACCATAAGTTGTAAATTTAAAAAATTATCATGTGTAATACAGACATGTAGGCCAACTTAAAAAAAAATCTGTTTATTCATGTGGGGCAATAGACACTACCTGCAATAATATTTGTATTGATTTGCTTTCAGTTCTTATTTACGTATATAGAAAGGTAGAACAATGATATTCTGAAAATTTACTGTATTGAATAATTGGTCTGAAGTTTTATTTATTTATTTTTGCATCAGATGATAAATACCATGTGACATTACTATGTGTTAACAAACACCAACACTTTAAAAACTATTTATAATACCAATTTATATATTTTTTATGTCTTGTTATTCTATAGGTGATGACTCTCAAAAGTTTTTTTCCTCATTACCTTGTGGTGGACTTGGGGTAAGTGCCATTTGGTTTAACTGCCTTTGAATAACATAAAATTACAAAAAAAACCTTCTTTGATTTATCTATTCAGTTATATTTAAGGTTATTTCTCAGTAGAGGTTATACTAGACTTCATGACTGCCTACATAATTTGCAGAGCTGAAGTGTCAAATAAAAATCTGGTATCCCTTGTTTAAAAAATTGTTAAGAATTTCAAGATGGTGGCACCACAATTAAATCAAGGCAAGGCCCTTCTAACTGTTAAGTTCCCTTGTAATTACACAGGTCAAACACTCATGAAGCCAGCTTTGCTAAGCCTTTATATAGCTGGAGTAAAGGTGCTACAAGAGAGCTTAGTACAGTTTTGCAGTAGAATTCCATTTTCAATAGAATCACATTGAGTGTGCACATACATTATATTCCTGGTGAAAATGGCATAAACTTCACAAAGTGCTCTGCATTATGGAACATTTTGTTTGTGAACCCCCTGGGGACATTTTTGTCTTCAATAATTAAGGAAGCCTTTTGACCCAGCATATTTATACCACATTTCAAGGACAAATTCATTAGAATCTAGCAACACATGAAGAAAAATGTCTACATTTTTGTAGATGATTAGAACATACCCTATAACCTGAAATCTATTTAAAGTAACCCTTACCACCAGCAAATCACCATCCTGTAGAACTAAGTGTTATGTTAGAACAACATAATTCTGGTGAAATTTTCAAAGACTAAGGTATTTAAGTCAATTAAATTGACTTGATGTTGAAGGAAAAGAAGAAAACTAGTCACATTTTGTGTATTATGTTTTAGACAATTGTTTTGCTAGAACTAAAATTTGATGCAAACAAATCTTGAATATTTTTAGTTTATTCAATCATTTTGATGATGCCAAATTTAGCAAGTTGTAGCCTTTTGTTCGTTCACCTGTGATTCTGCCTGCTTTGGAAATCAGAATGGCAGCTATACCCATTTGCCTCTGTGTGGACTTTACAGTTACCAACAAACAACTGAATTCCAAAACAACCTTGTGAAATAGTCATTGTTATTAACATGATTTTGGAGATGAGGAAGTGAAGGCTGGGAGAAGCTAAGTTATTAAGTTATTTTTCTGAAGTCACATAGTAAAGGGTAAAAAGCTGAAAGTATGGGGTTGATGTGCATATCCTTGTCCAGGAGTTCCAAAAGAGCTTTCTAGACACTTCCATGGCTTTCATCTTTAACAAACTAGCACTAGCTTACCCCAACTCCCTTTGAGCCAGCAGTGCAGCAGTGTGGGTGATGTCGTGTAACTCCTTTGTGACAGCTCACCAGTGACTTCTGCTTTTTGACCACCAGCGTGGGACAGTCGTCATCCCACATTAATCCCTGCTCATTTTTATCCAACCACCTATGGAGCTGGGAGCTTGCAAAATAATTCTGGAAAGCAGAGGATAAACTGGCTTTTAAAACGGGTTTCATTGGCTTTGTGCTTATTTTCTAACATCCCAAGTGGCTATTTTACGAGACTGGCTGCCTACCTGTAAATGGGGCAAAAAAATGAAACAAACCTGATGACTACTTAATGGGAACAGCAATGCGGAGGAAATCAAAGCTGTTAAAAGGGTGGTAGTCATCAAATCCCACTCATTTAGAAGTATAGGTGATCCCCAAGTTATGATGGTTCATTTTATTATTTTTGATTGTATGATGGTGCAAAACTGATACACATTCATTAGAAACCATACTTTGAATATACAGCCATTCTATTTTTCATTTTCAGTACAGTGTTCAATAAACTACATGAGATGTTTAACACTGTATTATGAAGTAGGCTTTGTGTTAGATGCTTTTGCCAAACTGTAGGCTAATGTGAGTGTTTGACATGTTTAAAGTCAGCTAGGCTAAGCCATGATGTTTGGTAAGTTAGGTGTATTAAATTCTTATTTACTTGAGACATTCTGAAATTATGACGGGTTTATTGTTACTCCATCATAAGTCAAAGAGCATCTGTATATTTAATGTATGACCCCAGGACTGAACTGAGGCCATCTCCCTAGGACTCACATCCCAAATCTGACTTGGGATGTGCTTTTCAATGCAAAGTTCCTTAACTCAACTGCTCTAAATCTGAAGTGACTTTTTATTTCTCACCTAGAACTGCTTTAGTAAACTCTTCAAAATGACCAGGGAATGAATATGGGCTGCTTCCTCTGCCTTTCTATATCAAACATAATGCACAGTATGGGTCATAGAGTAAGTCCTTAGTAATGTCCCCAGAACTGACCTCACCTGGATGGTGGAAGCAGTGGTGGCTGATAAATCTGGGGTGGGCCAGCAGAGGCCCACCTTCCTTGTTAGTTTGACTTCATCAGTGCTGGAGAAGGTTGGAGAAGAGGTGGTGCTTAGGTAGGTCAGGGTGGGTGTGAATGTGTGTGTGTGTGTACAAGTTTGCATTTGCTGATGCTCTTATGAACTAGTTTGATTCAGTTTTTTTGTTTACAGAAATGAAATAGTTTTCTTAGCCTTTCAAAAGTGATCTTACCCTCTCAGATTTTTGGTTTTGGTACAAGTCCTAGGAGAAACTCTGGGCCCTCGATTGGAGTCTGTCTAAATTTTTGCCTCCAGAACAATTCCAGACAGATTAACTATACAAAAGATTCACAGTATGATCTTGGAGGGGCTCAGCTTGCCAACATGGGAGCACTCTAGAGATCTTGGAAATTACTGAAATGGGTTTTGTCTTAAGGCTCCGTTCTGTCTCAAATTACCTAAGAGAGAGCTGTTGGTTTCCATTCCGAAATACTCAGTGATCTCCAATTGTTAAAGTAAACTCCACTTCCCTAGAATATATAATTTCATTCCAGAGGGATTTAATATATACCTACAGAATACTGATGGGTTAATTGGCTTTTGAGGACACTATCTGGGACATTAGGAAATCAGAACATTTTTACTTCTCATTAAAATTTCCCCTAAAATTGCACATGGTAATTAATGTTGGTCAAGCAGCTCAGTGGATGGATGGTATTTAAGATGCTGTAAAATGTACTCTCCAGAATTGCATTTCCAGCAACAATCTCAAGGTTTCTGAATTCCTTTGTGTTTGCTTGTCATTTTGTTCAGTTATTATGGCATGACTCATTTCTGATTACTGTGTGATTGCACTACAAGAAAATGCACCAGTTGAAAAGAACATTTGACCAAATCCCAGTACTTGGTCATTGTGTAGTAAAATAGATAATTAAGGGACTCTGGAAATAAGAGCTAGTGCAAGATCACTTCAGTTCTCACTCCTCAGGGTATATCACTAAAAATAGTGATCATTTTCCTGGCCATCTGACCTGCTCCTGTGTGAAGAAATCTTGAAGTCATTTCTCAGCCTCATTTTCCCCTCTTCACTTGATAGACCACAGAAAAACCCACAAAAGCAAGGACGAGCAGGCTTTTATGATAATGTCGTCATCAGCTCCTAGCTTCAAACACTTCTGTGGCTTTTGAGTTGTCATTTATAACTTGGAACTGAATCGACCCATAATTCCCCTGATACACTTAGAGAAATTGATAACAGACTCTGCGCTTCTTTTATGGCTCAGAGGAGGCAACTCCAATCACATCACTATTGGCAGGCAATATTATTTTTTGACATGGTTGTAAAAGTATAAAGGGGCTTATGGCATTTGTTTAGATGAGGAATGGGCTCTCAAGCTGTGCTGGGGTTTACAGGACCAGATCAGTGAGAAGCAAAGGGAATATGATGTTTGCAAACAGGATATGATTTTATATAAGTTTGGGTTTCATGCTCTGTTCCCTGGGGAAAGCCCTGCAGACAGCAGAGAATTCCACTTTTATCCTATAGCAGACAATCTCCCAGTGCCAAAAGGCAGAGAAATAAACGTGGTCAATGGGCAGTGTCAGAGCCTTGATTGGAGGAGAAGAAGCTGTGGAGGAGGCAGAACAAAGTCCCTAAGAGGAATGAGGATTTGCAGGGCATAGGCAGAACTGGGGCCTGCCTAAGTGGTTGAAGAAATGCCAAAAAGATTCTTTAAGAGGTTTAACCAAGGCTCCTTCTCCAGCAGAGACTCAGTCAGTCTGTGAACACAAAGCTAGCTTTTTACAACTTTTACTCTGTTCATATTCTATTTGATTACACCTAGATATGACACACTTACAAACATCATTTTTGTGATTGGGGAAGGGTAGACTGGGAGAAAGATTAGGTGATTGTAAGAGGGTGGTAATTTAAGGCCCATTTCAAATGCTGTGAGGTTTTCTGCAAACATAGTGGTTGTATACCAACTATAGTCACCATGTGAAAGGCAGATTTGGATGAAATGTCTTAAATTTTCTTTGATCCTGTCAGAATTAAAATATGTAAGCTCTCCCCTCTTATTTATAAATTTGCAGGTGTGTGTGTGTGTGTGTGTGTGTGTGTGTGTGTGTATGAAATTCATAATCAGGAGAAAATTCTATTTTGTCCCACATGTATATCTTCATATTATTTTTCTAGTTATTATACCATATTGGTCCTTCACATTTACTCTCCCCAGTACCAGTAAACAATATTCTAGTGGCAAGCCCTATGAAGAGCTGCTCCGGTCTTTCCTTCTCTATTGTAATACTAGGGAATGGCTTTTGTTTTATGACCAAATTTATGTATATACAGTTAAATTCATTGTGACAAAAGCTTGGTTAATAATGCATTTTACTGCTGTGATTTAGGATGGTCATCTTTAAAACAAAACCAATGTTTTCAAAGCTATAATGTGTGCTATGGGATGAGGAGTGAAGGGCAGGAGGAGTAAGATAAGGCTTGTGGATGACTAGCCAACAAGCTGCATGCAAAGGCAAATGAGACAAGACCACTGCTGTCAATCTCTATTGCTCAAGGCCTAGCCATTGGGCTGGTTTGAAAAAATGCTATGCTATGACAGCACAGAGGAGGAAGATTTTAAAACAGTTAAGAAAAAAGAGGGGTGTGGGAGTTACTCAATCAGTTATGAGCTAAATCTTCAAGAAGAATTAGTAATAAA